CCGTGCGCATGCGCCGCAGCCCCACCTCCCGGGCGGCACCGGGTGGGAGAGGCCGGCACCGCGGAGCCTCCTGGGATATGTAGTGCGGAGGGGGAGGCTCCGGCTAGGCGTCGCAATGCCTGACGGGAGTTGTAGTCCGCGGCGGGGCCTGGTGCGGGGCGGGAGGCGGCTGCTGAGGCGCGGCCGGCGGGGAGGGGCGGCCCCGGGGCCTTACGTGTGACACCGCTGAAAGTCGTTTTTCTGCAGCTGTGCTCTTGAACATGCGGTTACCGTGGCCTTCATAGTAGATTTGGTGGAGGGGGACCGGCAGAAGAGGAATTATCCGTCTGGAGGTGTGGAGACTCTTCCCCCTCACGTCTCTGCTTGCAGAAGGCTTGTCGCTTCAGGTGTTACCTCAAAGCTTTTTGAAGCCATCGGTCACTATCATCCTAGTGACGAATAACAATTTCCAGTAATGATATGTAACCAGCTGTAATGGGAGGTTACTTCTCTTCTAAGTGTATACTAAATTTAAACCCCAAATACTTAGGGTTTTCTGAACTACTAATAGGGAAATTTTTTTTCCTAGCTTAAAGCAGTGATATCTCTAAAAATAGAAGTCATCTGAACTCAGCCGTTGCCTGTAAATACATCTTTGTTTCAAGCTGGCATTTAACAACCGTACTTCACAGAGAAACAAAAGCTGTAATCAGAGCACAACAATAAAAGCTGAAGTCAGCCGCAAACAATGCCGTACCATTCCCATGGCAACTTTTTCCTATCAAACCCTGGCTAGGTCCCACACTCTGCAGCTGCACGAGCCAGAAGCTTCTCAGTCTGGACTCCCATTCACAATTATTCGTACATTTTTTTGATGATTTTCACTTAACACTGTTTTACTGGAGTTAATGTAAGACAATTAACAGTAGCCAGCACCACATCCCTCCCCTGCTTAGGTCGTGAGTTGACATTTCTCGTGCTGACAGAACTATCATGACTGTGGCAGCTCATTAAACGACTGCAGGATGTGGCCCGCCATTGTGCTGCGCGTGGAAGAGCCCTTTGCAAAAACGATATGCCCTTTTTGCAATCAAAAAGCCGTGCAATCAAAAGCCTTTTCATAACACACATGCAGAAGGTGGCAGACCGAAAACCATGACTGTCGACAGTCTGCAAGAACTTTCTCCAGCCTTCCATGGTTTGAATAACCATGCATTGTGATAATAGGACTCAGGAAAGGAGAAAAGAAGATGAACACATTTAAAAGAGGGAATATATTATACTGGAATCAGGTAGCAAACCTCATATTGTAGCTTACCGTATTTTCCACCATGGAAGACTATTGCAACCTTCCTTTCGAGATGGCCTAATTCTTCTGATGTTTGCAATTTAGTGAGGAGAAAATAATGTATGTAAAGAGCTATCTTTGCTTAAGCTGAGGTACAGACTTTTTAAAATAGCCAAATTCTGTTAGTTGCACGGTTCACAAAAGTATATTCACAAGATATGCATGTGGGGAACCAAAAAAATGAAGAGCTCAGCCATTGACCAGTGTGAGATGGAGAAGTCAGCTGCCACTGACACCCATCCCTCCATACCCAGTGCATGGCTCTGCCAATCTCCTCTCCCCAGACATACAGACTTCTGAATGCTTTTAAAATTGGCTATAAACCTTCTATCTTTTATGCCTGTAATGCTGAAGAAGAAATACTCTGTGGCTAATTGGTATACTGAAATACATCAGTTTACAGCTATGCCTGGAACACATGTATATTGATCTCTATGCTTGCCATAAATTTGGTAGTCAATAATAAAAAGCCTTGAAGTCAGGCACTGTGGGTCAGATCCTTGAAGTCAATATCAGCAGGCTAACTTAAAGCGGCCTTCTATCCTGCTCAGCATTTTCATGTTCGTGAACATTTAATTCAGTGGATACAACTGTGAAGAACCTACTGGGAGTCTCTATACTCTCCTGCAAAACAAACATGAAATTTTGAAATAATAACACAGATTTAATTCAAGTGAGCATTGCTGCTGTTGACATAATCCCTGAGTTTAGTTTTTCCTCTCCCCATTGAATTAGGACCACTGCTTATTCCTTCCTACTCCGTGTGGCAAAGGAGCGAGGACATGTCCTTCAGAGCCTCTGAGAGTATTGTGCAGATAAACCAGACTGATCTTACACAAGGTTAGTACAGGTTCACGGTATTTAATACCTCCTTTAACCTTTTCCTCTGTTTTCACATAATGATTTTAAAGGATGAAAAGAAGGTTGAAGGCAAAGATTTTTTTCCTCCATGAATTACACACACAGTTCAGGTGAGCACAACAGGGCACGTTGTGTACGCTAAACCATTTAGGTATCAATCTTTGATGTCCAAGACCACCATGTGGATAGAAACATAAGTATAGTCAACTCTAATGCCTTGATTTAAAACAAAACTTTATTTCAGCAAGAAGCTGCTCATAGCTGCAGTGTTATGGTGGTGTACTGTCCACTACTGGCACACAGGCTACTTAAAGCTCAGCTGAGCTGACTGATTTCCAGGCAATCCCATATTTTCAGTATTCTTTTCTGTTGAGTGTGCAAATGTAACAACTGAAAGAAATTGTGGTGACAGACAGATAGACTTCAAATCTGAAGTGATTAGGTCATGCAGATACTTTCCCATTCTTCCACAATACAAAGTAGGTGCGCAAAGATTACAAAGGACAGAATCTATTTTTTTACCCACCCTGCAATTTCTACAAATTTTCAGGATTAAAATCTGTACTGGCTTCTGCCCATGCAATGCCACTGACTTCAATTTAGAAACTGGCTTGGAGCACAGTATATTCCAGCAGGATTATGAGACAGGCACTTATTTCCTCTCCAATTGTCTCTATTCATAGTTTTCAAAAGCTGGCAGGTATTCTCACAAGAGTCTTCATGCCTGGCAAAAAATAGTGGCAGGCCCCTTCGTACAGATCCTTTAGTCACGAGCTGCTTGTGATTCTCATCACTGAAATGGGTAAGAGAGTTTGGACATCAATTCCTGCTGGGATTCCAGATACTCAAAAATGCAGTCTATAATAAACATTTGGTGGGTGACCTGCGGCAATATGCACCTTTAAGAACAAGTGTTTATTTCACAAGGTATGGAAACTCACATATGGCAGAACACATGTGTACAACAGTAATTCCCAAAGGAGTAACAGGTATCTATCTATCTATCTATCTATGTATATGCAAATATACAGATATAAATATGCATATCATACATATGCCCTGTATATATAAATACACATCCTGCATGTCTTGGCAATGAAGCACAAATATTCAACAATTCCAAAATATCCCAATTCTTAACTTTTCTAATTGTATTTTCATGATGGTTAATTTTATTCAGCAGAGGAAGTTCAGCAACTTTATACATACGCAGAAATAAAGAACTATGAACAAAACCTCACTTCATTGCTCTAAAGAAATTAATTCTGCCTTAGACAAAACCGTTTTGTTAAAACTAACAGTTATGTTACAGTGGAAAACAGGAAAAAGCCTGGCCAGTGAATTACTAAGTGTAGAGCAAAATGCTCTCACTATATTCTTTTTTTATGAGTTCAATATTGCAAATTCCATCCACATGCAGTATGCGTCCTGTGCACTATTTTAAGAGGGGTGTTACTGAACTCAATGGGACTACTTTTCTTAGAAGCTATGATCAGGCAAGGTCATTACTCTGCTGACACCTTCAGTGTTAGCAACCAAGGAAAGCTTTTCAGTCATTAAACTTTATCCCAGAGGATGAATGTCTGAGTTTTTGGCCGTGGCATGGGATTGATTAGGTAATATTTATTACCTGATTAAATTATTTGGCATAAGTTAGAGATAGACAAAAATTCTCCAGGGTTCCTCTCAGTATGACCTGGGGAAGAACCACCCCTTGTACCTCAGGGTTGCCAGTCGCTGTGACTTCAAACATGTGAGCAAGATGGAGTGTAAAAAACAAGGTTGTCTTCTCCACCTCGGGAGTACACCCTTGTTCACCTCCTGTTAGGGACAGTTTCTGAAGCTTGACAAGATAACAACACTGATCCCCGAGCTATCCCTAGCTAACGGGTAGTGATGGAAAAACATACTCTCCATCCCTGCGGGTAATTAGCTAAAGCACTGTAGAAGGAGGTTTCCCTACTGTCATTGCCTTACAGCAAAACTGTGTGTGTGATGGGCACCTTGAGGGCAACACAGACAAACCTCTTCCCTTCACGCCTCCCAGGGGGAGGAAAGGAGCAGAAGGATTACAATCCTTGCACGTATAAGCAGAGAGTTTAACTCAAAAGCTGCTTTAAAGCATATTTACAATATGCATTTTAAAGCCTCTAAGGGAGAGCCAAAACATCTCTTCTGATGAAATTATGTTGACAGAGCTTGGAAATTTAATCTCACATGGAGGTTGAATTCATTAAGCTTCAGCTGCCAGTCATTGGATCTTGTTATTAATTTGATACTGAGGTAGAAAAGTGCCCTGATGTAACTGCTGTGTATAAGTACTGACACACAGTGATGAAGTAATTTCTCAGCCTTTTAAGTACTCCATTTCCCTGAAAGTCATATTTAAACACTTTGAGTTTGTTAGCACTAGGATTTTAATATTATTATGTTGCAGTTGTTTTCCTCATTCCTATGTGCGTAGCATTATACTAAAATACATATGATGGTTCTTCATTTTCTATCAAACAGTGCATTTTTATTTCTCT